GATTGATATAGATAAAGACACCAAGATCCAACATGGATGCTTTAGGAGTGTTTACCAAGATATCATTATTTTTAAACCAATTATTTAACTTACAACCTTGTTTTTCTTTTTGCATCATACATACATTGCAGATCTTCATGTTTTTCCTCTAGTGGATTTCAAACTTGGTCTCAAAATTTGTTGGTTTCGTTTCTAAAACATTCGATCATAGGAGGCCATTAAAATATATTTAAAATGTTTAAGTTTACTGGATACAAAAAAAAACAAGTTCAAGTTATGAACATTCTTGATTGATCCTGATCTTGTGATCTGAAAGATTTTAATTTTTGAATGAGAATAAAAGATTAAAAAGCAAAAAAGGTCTCCAATAAAATTTGAAAGGTCTCCAACGAGAATAAAGGCCTTGTAATAATCCGGAATAGTATAAATTAATGAAAGACTTTAAAGTCGTCTTTGACTTTATCTTATTTTAGCAGTATTCTTCTATGGAACAATAAAAAAACGTAGCCTGTCATTTCCACAATGTGGTCGGCCTTTTTTTTGCATTCATAATTTCAGGGATATAAATGATTTAGTTCAGATTTAGACATTCTTATGCTTATATTTAATGTCATTTAAACAATATGTATTTTATTTCTGGTAGACAATAATTTGTAAATGGCAGGACTTGTGCTATTTTATGATTATTGTTTCATGGAAAAAATTGCTAAAATTAGGTTGCCTTTAACGAATGCCGCAAGCTATTTCTAAGGTCAAAGACGACTTTGGTCGGTGATCAATTAGTTTGTAATATTCCAGTTTATTCAGAATAAGATTTTAAAAGTTTTCAATATGTTTTTAAAATTTTCTTTTTATCTAAAATCTTAGATATGATCTAAAATGTCTAAAAGATAATATGATATGATGATAAGATATCTCCAATATATGATCTGAAATGTCTCCTATAAGATCTGAAATGTCTCTGATAAGATCTGAAATGTCTCTGATAAGATCTGAAATGTCTCTGATAAGATCTGAAATGTCTCCGATAAGATCTGAAATGTCTCCTATAAGATCTGAAATGTCTCTGTTAAGATCTGAAATGTCTCTGATAAGATCTGAAATGCCTCTGATAAGATCTGAAATGTCTCCAATAAGATCTGAAATGTCTCTGATAAGATCTGAAATGTCTCTGTTAAGATCTGAAATGTCTCTGATAAGAACTGAATTGTTTCACGATAAGATCTAAAACATGTCCGATGATAATGATTTCATTTAAAACACTTCTAATATGTAGATCTCATCTCAAGCAAGGATTGGGGACTAGGAACTTAATTATTCTTTTTCATAATTACTTTAGAGAATTTTTCTTGATTAAATTTAAAATCTTATAAATATTAAGAATAATTTACTATACAGCTGTGCTTATTTGGAATGTCAGGTAAAAAACATTGTCAAGACGACATTTTTGTTCTTCGTGAATTCTGAGTTTTTAGGTTTTTGCTGGCTCGCTCAAATATACGGTCTAAGCTCTACTACCAACTAGTCTACTTGGATGATTTAAAGGTAAAGCTTTTTATGAGAATATATTTTTTTACAAAGTTAATTTAATTTTGTTTCATTTTGTCTCAATGTTTCTAAGATAACGATGTAAGGGTTTGGAACATAGATAAAGATAGATTGCGCATAAGACGACATTTTTCATCTTGAAAGATATAAATGTACAGAAATGTTTTTAAGATATTCCTATTATATAGATTAACTAGGTCGGTTGTGAACATTGGCTGTTCTTATGTCATTGAGTAGTTGTGGTGTACATGAGTTCTGTAGAGAGAAATTTAAGTTAGTTTAGTCTTTCTCATGTCCTTCTTCAGTTCTCGTCAATATGATGTATTGCTCAGTGAAATATTGTTGTTCAAATAGTTAAATTAAAACACCAAACCACCCCGCTTATCATTGAAGTACACTTTGACCCCTAGAAGTATGAGTTCGCGGACTGTCCAATTCTTGGTGATTTTGCGTACATAAGCTATCTATGTTTATTTATTTATTTATATATGGTTTGGAACCGTTGTGATTTGGGAATGTAACTTTTTAAATGGAATGTCACATTAAATTCCGTGAACGGTCTCTTTAATATCTATTTCAAGACTTCTATTGCTGATGCCACACTCCAGGATGAGATTGTACTGCAGAAAAATGATCTGTACTGCAACAAAGTAAACAGAGAAAAAATCAGAACATCAGGTTTATTGATTTATTAATTTACTGATACAAATTACAAACTAAACAATGTTAAATTCTTTTTCTTCAGACGTTTTTTTTACAAACCCCACACTCCAGGCTAAGCAATTTGATTATTGAGACGGTAAGCGTAATTTTCTGTGACCCTCCATGCAAGGAAGAATATGCCCGAAATACTAAGGTACAGTGATAACCAGAAAACAATGGAATAGTAAGACGACATTATAGCAATACTTAAGTGTATTTGATGGTGTTACAAAGAAAAGAAAAAATTTTCACCAGACACTTATAAAATCACTTATTTTGTGAATTAGATCTGTTTACACTGCACAATTGATGTGTTTCATAGTCATTGAACTTACTTAAAACTTGATTCTCAAAATCGTCTTACTATTTCAGAGTTTTCTAGTTATCACTGTAGCAATTATTAACACTTTTCGAGCAAGAAAAACGTTTCATCAGATTATAGTTCCTAAGGTTGCTATGGTAAATCGGTCATTGGAAAGTCACTTAAAAATGCGCTTTCTGTAACTTTAAATGATGATGTAATTGGAGTTCTGGAGAAGGGGGTAGGATGTGCACATTTTACTGTGACCCCTTTATAGAAATTGCTTGAAGGGTAATACTCAACAACTATTTCCTTCATTTTCTCACTGAATGATCGTTCAGTAAATTCGTTCGTTAAATAAAATCGTTCGTTTAGTTTAGCTACAGTTTTTTCAAATCTTTTGGAAAATTCGTTCATTGAGTAAAAAAACGATCGTTGTTTTAAGTTCGTTCGAACGATTTAAATTGTTCTTTTTTCGTTCGTTTTTAAAAAACTTTAATTTTTTCAATTCTCTGAACGATCCATTTCGTTCATCCATCGTTTTTGTTTGAACGAAATTCTTTTTCACAAAAACTATGCCCATCTCTATATATATTAAACTTTAATAAAATTAGTGGTCAAATATAACGTCGCAGTAAAATGTGTGCGGAAACCGTATCCCCCTCTCCTTTAGTAATCACTCATTTAATAAAACTTTAAAATGTTCAGAATACACCGCAAGCAATGAAACCGAAGCAGAGTATTTGGAAAATCTTTTTAGTTTTTGTGAATTTTAGTATTTTTATATAAATATAAATATATTTGCAGATTAATAAATATCTACATTTTATCACTCTGTTGTTAAAAATATGTCTATATATTGTATTATCAATTTATTATTTTAAGTTGAAGGCTTGATGCAATAAAAGCTAAAATACATTTCCAATATTTGCTAAACATAATTTGTGTTCTCGTTAATCTTTATCATAGGTTTATTGAATACACTTTGTTTATAATTATTTGCAATTATAAACTCCCCTCAGATATGATTTAATCACTCTATCATAGCTTAGTATATAATTCAAGTTCAGTTTATTGATTCATGTGCAGCCAAGTTCAAACTTTATACATTTGTTTTTTATTTGTCAGACCTAACACTGATCTTAGCTTATTATTGTGAAGTTACTTACGTTTTCATACAGAGTGTCCCACGAAACATGACAGTTGCTGAATAGTTCAAAATGGCTCCTTCCAAAAGTTGTTAAGTTGTTTGACACCAAAAAGAATAATAAAAGATATTAATATTTTAGTAAAATTTGTGATGGGCGGGGAAAATATAACGCTAATAATATAACCACCAAAAATATAACTGACACAAATATAACAGACAAAGAATATAACCAACCAAAAATATAACCATTTTCAACAAAAAATAAAACCATTTTTTTTATTGAATTATAACCATTTTTGACCAAAAATATAACTTTTTGGACCACCAATAACCATTTTTAGTAAAAAAAAAGAATTTTTGACCAAAAATATAATTTTTTTTCTACCAAAAATATAACTATTTTCGACCAGAAATAAAACCATTTTCGAGCAAAAATATTTAGAATTTTTATCCAAAAATTTAATTTTTTTGACTAAACATAAAACCATTTTCGACCAAAAATACAACCATATTTTAGCCAAAACTATAACTATTCTTTTAATCAAAAATCTAGCCATATTTAGCCAATGTATGCCCACTCCTGTCCACTAAAGTGTCCACCCCTGAATGGCTTTTATTTAATAAAAATTCAGGAATCACATTTAAGATTAAATAAAAATTGATTCTCATCATTAGAAAAAACGTTCAACGGTTAAATTTCAAGTTAAAAATGTTTTTATTTTTGGTAAAAAATAGTAATATTTTTAGGGGAGAAATGTTTGTATTTCTTGGATAAAAAATAGTTGTATTTTTGGTTACAAAATTTATTTAATATTTGGTTAAAAAATGGTTGTATTTTTGGTTAAAAATGAGTTTATATTTTGAGATAAAAAATGGTTATATTTTTGGTTAAAACTGTTATATTTTTTGCTAAAAAAAGGTTATAATTTTAGTATGGCAATGACTATATATTATTGGTTAGTAAATGGTTATATTTTTGATAAAAATGGTTATTTTTTTGGTGGTTATAATTTTGGTTGTTTTATTTTTAGAGTTGTAAAAAGACATTCAAAACTATTTAGCAACTGTCATGTTTCGTGGGATAAAGTGATATTATACCCACAGAGTGGAGAATATTATGTAGAGAGAAATGTTGTCAAAATATAATGTGAAAGCCCCATTTTGTTGTAATGGTTAACTTATTTCAAGCGTAATACTTTACGCATTTCTGCTCTAACCTCTTTTTGCCTTTTGTGCTTGGAACTTAGAACAACAGTTGAATTTTACACTGACAGTTACACCTTTAACATCTAACAATTTTCCAAAGAAAAGGCAAAATGGCGTCAGGTTTAACTTTAAAAGAACAACCAGGACTGGATGCGGAATTCACAAAGAATAGATTTAAAGACCAGGTATTTTAAATAGATACATTTGAGCTGAAGACTTTAGAATTGTGGAAATTTAGATCAATGATTGCTCTTCTCATAATTGGTTAATCTGCAAATTGATATTATCTTTATATTTATAGTCAAGAAAGTGTCCATAGTTTTACCAATCAGAGTGTTGTTTGCATAAACCGAACAACCAATCAGAAGCTTGGAATTTTGCGCATAATCAATGATTGAGCTCTCATTGGTCGGTACCAAGCAGGGATGTTCAAAATAGAGGATTAACAAGAAAACACGACGTTTCAACATAAAATTTACTACAAAGAGTGCATCCTGTCTCTCCTGTCTCAATTCTGAATATTTCAGTCATATTTAGATCTCTCATTCGAAATCCGTGAAAAATAGTAATTTTAACCGATTAGTGACGATAAGGTCAATTTTGACAAACAAGATTTTGAATTCAGAAAAAAAAACAAAAGAACACCCTGTAATTTAGTTTTGAATCTATAAAATTGTCATTTTTTTTACTAGAAAAAATTTGAAGATATTTTTGGAATCTTCTTTTAAAGATCTAAATAAATAAAACATGAAAAGTAAAGTTTTGAAGATAATTAAATAATTATGAATTACCGAAGTTTTTTAGATTTTCATGTTTTACAGGTCACCCTGTACAAAAAAAATTCAAAAATTTAATTGAATATCGTTTTTTCATGAGTACATACAATCAAGTTTTGTTATGAAAAGTTCCTTCTAAAACAACTTCACTAATAGTTAATGGTCTCGTCACTAATGGGTTAACCTTGATATTAAAATCTGAAATAAAAAGCCCAACAAAAAAGTTTGATTAAAAGCAAATACGAAAAAACTACGCTTATTGAATAAAAAGGTTTCTAATGTTACTGAACTTTAAACCAAAACCTCTGGTCTATCGAGACTATAACGTAATTTTGATGAAGGTTGTAGTTGTAACTGGGGGAGGAGGCGGTATCGGAGGAGCAATCGTGTACAGGTATCATAACACAGTGAGATCCATATAACTGGGGAATAGGAATACGACATTTAAGCATTCTTATGTGAATTCGATGAAATAATTTTACTTGTAGCTTGAAAAAAACTTTTTTAGTGAAATGGGTCTGTTTACAATTCCACAGTAAACTTGCTGTTTTTCATGTTTATTGGAATATTTAAACCATTACTTGAGTCTTACAGTCGTCAATTACCACAGTTTTATAGTATTCAGTTATAGTATTCATGTATACAAAATACTAAACTACAATTGTGTTCAGGTATTATAAGACGGTTAAATAATGTTCAGATATCATAATACAAAACTGCAATTGTATTCAGATATCATTATTTTTAAAACTGCAATCGTGTTCAGGTATCATAATACAAAACTACAATCGTGTTCAGGTATCATAATACAAACTACAATCGTGTTCACGCATCATGATACAAAACTACAATTGGTTTCAGGTATCATAATACAAACTACAATTGTTTTCAGGTATCATAATACAAAACTACAATCGTGTTCAGGTATCATAATACAAACTACAATCGTGTTCAGGCATCATGATACAAAACTACAATTGTTTTCAGGTATCTTAATACAAACTACAATTGTTTTCAGGTATCATAATACAAAACTACAATCGTGTCCAGGTATCATAATACAAACTACAATCGTATTCAGGCATCATGATACAAAACTACAATTGTGGTCAGGCATCATGATACAAAACCACAATCGTGTTCAGGTATCATGATACAAGACTGCAATCGTGTTCAGGTATCATAATACAAACTACAATCGTGTTCAGGTATCATAATACAAAACTACTATCGTGTTCAGGCATCATGATACAAAACTTCAATAGTGTTCAGGTATCATAATACAAAACTACAATCGTGTTCAGGTATCATAATACAAAACTACAATCGTGTTCAGATATCATGATACAAAACTACAATCGTGTTTACAGGTATCATGATACAAAACTACAATCATGTTCAGGTATCATGATACAAAACTACAATCGTGTTCAGATAACATGATACAAAACTACAATCGTGTTTGCAGGTATCATAATAAAAACTATGTGGATGTAAATTCTAGTTTATAGTACATGACAAGGGGAAATAGACTAATTTGAAACAGGAAAATTCTTTATTCAATTTGTTTTAGATTTCTCCAGGATGGAGCTAAAGTTTCTATTCTTGATTTAGATTTCTCCAGGATGGAGCTAAAGTTGCTATTCTTGATTTAGATTTCTCCAGGATGGAGCTAATGTTGCTTTTCTTGTTTTAGATTTCTCCAGGATGGAGCTAAAATTGCTATTCTTGTTTTTGATTTCTCCAGGATGGAGCTAAAGTTGCTATTCTTGATTTAGATTTCTCCAGGATGGAGCTAAAGTTGCTATCCTTGATTTAGATGAAAATAACGCCGACAGCAAACTAGCTGAAGTCGGAGATAATCTTGGAAAAAATGCCAGGTTTGATTTTTAAACAGGGCTTCCTTAATCAAATTGGATTATCTCAAAGCTTTCACGCCGAAATACGCACAGGATACTCGAAGCACTTAAAGGTGTTAAGTCTTTGCACAAACTCTGGTTTCATAATTCCAATATCTTTGCAACCCAATGGCGTACGACCTTAGATATTTAAAACTATGCATTATGTGAGATCAAATAATCTAAGTTTGAAAATTTAAGATTTACACAATCAGATTGTAATAAAGACTCAATTCCTTTGTACATTCTTACTTCTGCACATTATTTTTCTTCGCCGTCCCGCCTCAATAACTTTTTTCAAAACTTACTTTTTGTTCTGGCTTGATAATGTTCACACATGATCAATCGTCTTTTTATATATATGAGAAGCATATTTTAAATATTTTAAACATACTGATGGGGCCATCATAATCGTGTAAAGCCCTAGTTAACCATTTTGAGATTTAGTTGGGATTTTATACTTATGTCATCATAATCGTGTAAAGCTCTAGTTAACCATTTTGAGATTTAGTTGGGATTTTATACTTATGTCATCATAAGTGTGTAAAGCTCTAGTTAACCATGTTACTTCACTCTCAACTAAGCTTTCGTTGCGATCTGCAGTAATTTGCAGTACACTGACCGAAGATATAGTAAAATTTAGTGGAGAGTGACTTTATTCTACAGCAAGGACAAGCAAGAAAATGCCATTGTTTTAAACATAAAAGGAACTGGTTTAGATTAGTTAATGGCACTTGTTCACAAATATATTCCTGATTATTTGCTTTTTAGTTTCTCAATTTAATTTTCTGACTGATGTGATATTGTAGATATATCTATGATATTCAATAAAATATTTTTATGAGTAAAAATAAATAAATATACAAAGAAACTGGCTGAAGTGCCCGGCGTTACCCGTGCAATTTAAAACACTTAAAAAAATTGAATTTGTAAAAAAATAATTTTTGAAAGAAAAAATTTGAATTTGGAAAAAATCGAATTTTAGAAAATCGAAATTTGCTAGCATATGTTACCCTTAGGGTACTATGGGTTCCCTCATATGTATGAGCGAAGAGCTTTATTATATAAAGGGTGTAAAAAAAACCAAACACTTTACCCTTTTTTCTCTCACAGGCTTAAATATTATCCGATCACAATGAAATTAACATCACAATTTCTCTAGGATGTTAGGACTACATGGTTAAAAAATTATCGGATTTGGTCAACATTAATCTGAATAAATGCTCTTTTCTCTTGGGGATGAAACTAATCAACCTACCTGTAAAAAAAAGCATTAAGAATGCTGAAGGAGGTCCAGAACTTGCTTAAAAATGAAAACATCTATTTAAAGGTGTTCAATATAAGCCTAAAACTCTTAAAAGCTTTGTTAGTTTACAGTACTAGATTACTAGGGTGGAGCTAATATGACCAAACATCAATTTGGAGTATATACTGTAAACCAACATTTCCAGGGGAATGCAGAACCAGTTCCTTCACTTCTCCTTCAACAAGGAGAACAGGAGACCAAGGAGAACAAGGAGACCATTACTTTAAGCTGATGGGACAATATTTTATTGCAAGAAGGAATATACCTTATTCTACAGCTTTTCCTAATGTAAATCAACTCTAACATGGCACATGAGGGCTCAGCTTGCTCGCAGGACGAAACTTATGCTGTCAGCAATAGTTTAAATTAAAGTTTGGTTTATACCTGAAAATAACCACGAATTAAAATAATGTCCAGCCTATAATTGAAAATATTTGGGCCACGGCGAAAATGAAGGTAGCAAGGAAAAAATGTGAAAATCTCTATCATCTGAAACAGTGTGGCGATAATAGGAAATCCCAGTTGGGTAGGCTGATCAAATCCTTTCCCAAGAGATAAAGAGCATTTATTCAGAGCAGGGTTGACAAAATTCAATATTCTTTAACCATGTAGTCCTAACATCCTAGAAACACTGTTGTTGACGGATAACAGCAACACGCTAGACAAATCAGGATAATAGGCCGGTTAGGATTCTGGTGGGGGATGTTTATTATCCCCAGACAATTCTTTCCCGATAGGCCGCTCAAATACACACACAACAGAGTAACCCCGTCTCAGAAATTCGATAACAAAATCTTTATTTCCTAAAAAAATAACATAAATTATAGGTCATGGTTACTTGTACAATGTTATAATGAATGTTAATAGTAGAAAAAATCTTACGAATTATTTAAGTATGGTCGGGGGTGACTTATTTGTTGATCAGTATTGAAATACGTTTTTTTAACTTCTGAAAAATTACAGTTGAATATTTAACGAAATTCACTAATGCTTCCTATGAAAATATTTTGCTTAACTTTAATGATTTCACAACAACGAAAATATTTTAAGCTCCGTCGGAGGAGAACAAGGGAATTGCGGGCTGAAAGTTTGGTTTGGCTGTCTCCGACAGGAGATTCGAGTTGAAGACGACATTTTATAGGGGTTTTAAAATTAATGGTTAACAACTGTATTATATTATGATCGAATAATAAATAAGCTAGGGAGAGAAAAAAGTGTAAAGTGTTTTTTTTTTACACCCTTTAGATAAAAAAATATTGATTACAGGGTTTACAAGATTGATGTGTCCAAGAGAGAAGATTGTTTTGATGTAGTTGAAAAGATTGTTAATGATCTTGGTACTGTTTGTCACCTGGTCAACTGGTAAGAATTATACAGGGGGACCCAAAAATAATAAGACTTTAATTGAAGACACGGATCTCTGTGAATAAAACGTCCTGAAGTGGAAAATTGATTTGCGAATCTGAAAATCAAGCATTGATCTGAGATCTCGATCTTATGCATAACTTCGATATCCCTAGTGGTCATACCATGCACGGATATCCCGTAGTGGTCATACCATGCATTGGGATATTCCGTAGTGGTCATACAATGCATGGGGATATTCCGTAGTAGTCATTCCATTCAGGGATATCCCGTAGGGGTCATACCATGCAGGGATATCCCGTAGTGGTCATACCATACAGGGATAACTTTAATTCAAGAATCAAGCAATTATCCTTAAATATAAAAGAGCCACATTTGATATCGAGATCACTGATATCCATACAACTATGAAAGTTATTTATCAATTGTTTAGACCATGCAGCCTCGACTTTATATCGTCGCTTGAGCTTAGATTTTACCCCACCAAGTCACTTAATTTTTTTTGTAGCCCTGGGCATGTGCATTCTATAACTGCAACGCGCTTTTTTCTAGCTAAAGTTTGAAAGGAGTAATTGACAAAACATTCAAGCAATACTTTATACAAAAGTTATGACTTCTGAAGGTTCTTCGTCTTAATTTCAGTCCATTGATGATGGTTACTTATTAGATGATTTTTAACAAAAATTAACTTTTCTGTTTCCAACGATTTATGTAAAAATTTAAATTATGAATTTTTTTAAGACGATAAGATTTTTTTTCTGAGTGAAATAGGGAAAAAACTGCATTTTTATTTATTTTAAGTTGACCTATTTTTAATAACAATTCACCTGTATTTTTAATTGTTTCTTTAGTGTTGCGTATTTTGGTTCTGAAAGTCTGAACTCAACCTATAAGGTGATAATTTTCGATATATATATATATAAAGTAGTAATCTCTGGTTGTATGTTTGTATGTCCGATCATAACTTATGAACCCCTTGACCCATTTGCCTTAAATGTTGATTGGGGAACCCTGTAGAACCACGAAAACGTTTTAAGCTAAGTTTAAAAATTCTTATTTGATTAGGTTGATTATTATAGAGAAAACTTTGTTCCAAGGCTTAAAGCTGGGTTCCCAAGCTTATAAGATAATAAAATTTAAAAAAAGCCGTTAGAAATTATTAAATTATTCTCACTGTAAGGATTCTTTTGGTGTCCTGTTCCGTTTCATCTTATACAGCTGTGAACACTGTACATCATGCTGGAGCTGCCTAGAAGTCGGTTCGGTACTTTGTTGGCGTTGGGTAGGGGAGGGGTTGTAATGTAGATATTCCATAAATATTTTTACCCACAGTGTAAATTTCATTTAACCAGGATTGGGAGAGAACGTTTGCAGTGAACGTTATGGGAAACGCTTTTATGACTCAAGCTGTTGTTCAGGTAAAAATTATAAAACATTTGCCCCATCCCCCCTCTATCATTTCATAGCATCCGTTACCATAGGATCCTGCATGCGATTCGTCCGTAAAATAATAAAAAAGTTGTAGGCGATTATATCAATACAATGAAGACGATTTTTTAAAAAGTTTGGATCGTTAACAATTGCTTTTTTCAAATTAAAAATTTACAAGAAGCTTCTTTAATTGACAAAATTTCTTGACTTCTATGTTGATTTGTATCCATGCTGTTTAACAGGATGAAATAAATCAAAATTTGAACCGAAAGTCGTCTTCCTTGTATTGATTTAATCGCCTACCACTGTAGATCCAGGTCTGTCTTATTTCTTTAAAAGTAAGCTAATTTCTTTCACCAAAAAGAAATTTTAAAAATGTTCGTGTTTTGAGAGCAAATTTATTATAATGTTTTGGTTGATATTTTGTCATTTGGATTCGATTCCATGCGACTCGAACATTTTAAGAAGGGACCAAGTTACCTACAGGGAAAACAAATATTGAGGATCAGCAGGGTTGCCAACCCTAGTGTTTTCTTACATTTTAACGGACCAAGTTACCCACATGGAAATCAAATTTTAAGGATCAGCAGGGTTGCCAACCCTAGTGTTTTCTTACATTTTAACCGACCATGTTACCTATAAGGGAAACAAATGTTGCGGATTAGCAGGGTTGCCAACCCTAGTTTTTTCTTACATTTTAACGGACCAAGTTACCCACATGGAAAACAAATTTTAAGGATCAGCAGGGTTGCCAACCCTAGTGTTTTCTTACATTTTAACGGACCAAGTTACCCACATGGAAATCAAATATTAAGGATCAGCAGGGTTGCCAACCCTAGTGTTTTCTTACATTTGTGCGTGTTTTCTAGCACTGCTGGTTAAATTTTTTCCAAGGTTGCAATTCGGATATTTTTTTCGTGATTATCATAAAGCAAATTTGGTTATTTTTAAATGATTATCACAAAGCAAACCTGTATAAAATTTCTAACGTAAAAAGTTATTAAAGTATTATATGTGTTTTTAAACAATAAAAATGGAAATCTTTCTTATTCCAAGTGGTTTGCAACCCTAAGGATCAGATATTTCCTTGTAACTATTTTTGTTTAGTATATGAAAAACTCTGCTAGAAAGAATATGAGTATAACCCATATAAGTAGTATCTCTGCACATCAAGCTCAACCCAATAGGTAGCAAAATGATTTACAGATCAAAGAAGACATTCCTGGCCGTCCGTCAGACATTTTCTAACCAGTAAACAGAGAATTGGATTCTTTTAAAATGTCTTTCAATCATGAAATAATCTTTTTAAAGGTTTTTATCACTGTACTTTTCTTATATAACACTTTGGGATTTAACAATATCAAAAGTTAAAAATCCTCTCTGTTCTTCCAATATTCCAAAAAAATTCTGTAATAATTATTAATTTTGTTTTAATGAATTATTTACCAGGTGGACTTATGCAGCCTCTAAAGGGGCGATAAACATTCTGACGAAAACAATGGCGCTGGATCTTGCAAAATGGAAAATAAGGTGCATCAGTCTCGAGTTTAAGAATAGATAAAGAAGTCGCTAAAAATAAGTGGAATTGAAAAATGGCAAAAAATGTCTACCTCGTCTTCTGTTCTATGTTTGATAACTTATAATAATAATAATAATAATAATAATAATAATAATAATAATAATAA